ATGTTTTCTTTCTTTATATTTTAAATAAAGCAACATAATCCAATTTTTTTTTCTTCAAAAAAAACAAACAAACAAAACAAAAAAACATAATCCAATTTAACATGGCGGCAAGAAAAGCTACCCACACGTGTATACCAGTGACGCACATACCCCGTGTGCAAACCTGTGTGGGATTCTCTGACAAAGAAAAGAGTGTGTGTTTGTGTGTGTGAATCTTATTTAAAGAAAACTGCAACTGAGTGAAACATGAAAACAAACTCCAGATGCTTTCCTCTCCACGCGAGTCACTGAAGGATTCACGGCTCACGCACGTCTGTTCCTCTGTCAGCAAACAGCAGATGGAGGAAAATCCTTTGAGTTTAAGACCACCGACATGTTCCTGCATCAAGTTATGAATCTAATCAATGAAACATGTCAGGTCTTTTGAAAAAAACAAAAACAAACAAACATTGTTTTGTAGAAATGCTGTGGTCGGTATCTTACCTGTTACAGGTAGATTTTTGAATGAACTCAGTTTGGATAAATAGAGGTCTATCAGACCGGTTTGATGAGCTAACAGCTAGTCCAAGAGATTCCCAAAACCAAAGTGAATAGCTGTCATCTTAAAACAATTCAATTATTTTTTTTTAATTACAGCACTTCATGGGAACGCTGTTTCATAAAACTTTATGTTGTCACCAATTTTATATAATATGGTTATTTACGTAAGATTTTATGGTTATTTGTTAGGGCAAATAGCAGCAGCAGGTAGCTGTGGCATTTTCAACACAAATATATTAATATTTATGTCCAAATAACTTCATAATGCAAGACTGACACTGATGTGATGTTTATGAAATAGAACTGGAATTAAAAAATAAATTAATATTTATACACAGCAACACCAATCCCTTAGCTTGTCAGTTCAGTCAGATAGACTCAATTTCTCCAAGCTGAAGTCATTCAAACAGCTATCTACTGCAGGTAAGATACTATTTGTTCATAACCCTTTTTACAAAAGCTCATTTTAAATGATAGAAAATACCTTTGGATAGATTTCTGAAAATGAAAAATGGTTCTATCACTAAAAAAGGCTGTAGAAACCTAAACTCCTACTAGACTAAAAGTTCCAGTATTAAATTAATTAAAAATTTAATATAGCATAAAAAGTAAAGACAATAAAATACTGGATCTTTCAGCCTGCTGTGTGCACGCCTCACTGAGCATGACTGCCTGCTAAGGCAAGACTTTCTGTTAGCATAATGACCTTCTAGCCTTTCATTGACTGAATACATTTAAAATATTCAGAGAGGGGAAAAAAAAAACTATTGTTTTTTTTATTTTATTTATCAAAACAAAAAGTTCTATGCACATGTGAATTCCAAGTTAATTTTGCTTAATTAAGATTTTGTTGCTTTACCACGAGACCTTGGCCTGAAAGTATTGTTCGCCTCAATGTATTTACAGATTTTTAATAAAACTGCTGTTTCCCCCAAAAGCCCAGAGTGAAAATCGTCTCGTTCTAAACGTCCTTCGACGTCACATTGTGATTTGATGTGCCGATCTGGTGTGCACAGTTAAAGTGTCTGTGCAATTGGACATGGCAGCTTTAAAACAAATGTAAAAAGCAAAGAAATTATCTGAATGAGCTGAAACAACCTGCAGCTTTAATGATTACACACAGAGGGGCGGGGTGTGGGGGGTGTGGGGTCAGAGGTCATCTCTCTGAAACACCTGCGAGCAGGAAAACACCTCCTCCCACACAAAGCTGCTTCGTCTCCTTATCTGTCTTCTGACAGTCCAAATTGCTTTTTGTAGTCGCTGCTGCTCACATCCGTCACCCCACTTTCCATGCTCTTTCTTTTTCTTTTCCACCCACTTGTGAATTTGTGGCCCCGTCTGCATGCATGACTTTCTACAGTTTTCCAGCTCTTCAGCAGCTGCAGGAGGCGAAGGCTGCTGCCCTCAGACTTCCCCAGCCGCACAGACTCTTGTTAACAAAGGCCCGGCTCCATTACTCTCCACCGAGACACTTGCTTAAACAGTGACCCCTCCCTACCTCCTGTACATCCACCTTTTATTATTTAGCACCGTGGGGATCTCCGTTGCCATGGATCTTGTTGTCATGGCTACAAACAACTACGCAGATGCACAGGAAGTGGAGAAGGACAGAGTAGTGATAAGGGATTTTAACATGGTCGTGCATCAGGTTGAGATTAGTAACTGGTTGCAGGGTAAGGATATCGCTTCTTTAACGGAGGTCTGGGTAAAACTAGAAGGGAATCAGAACTTGTTTTAATATGTCACTTTTTATTCTAAATGCACATAAAGCTTTAGGAAACTGCGGACGTTTTAAATCGTGCAATGCAGATAAAACATCCCGTCTGTTGTAGCCCTAAAGGACACTGGGTGTTTTGCATAGGGCAGATAAAAGAGACCTTTTATCTGGGTTGGCAGACAACTTCAGCATTTGGTGCACAGGTGAAGATCTGAAGTTTGCATTGCAGCCTTTGAATTGAAAGACCCTGCAGGGACGAGTCATGTACTGTTGATGTAACACCGTGGTGTTTTATTTAACCTTTATTTATACAGGTAGTCGCATTGAGTCACAAGGACTCGTTTACAAAAGAGACCTGTTTCTGTAAATGTAAATGGATCTGACATATTTAAGTAAATTAAAGACAGTGAAAGTAAAAAAAAAAAAATGCATGCACTGGTACGACTCTAAAGTGGTGCCTTTTAGAGTTGTGGTAGGAAGAAAATTATGTGCTTTAACTATTATGTGAGTTTTAAAAAAATGAGCATTTAGGAAGTATTTGAATCTCTAGAAGTATAAAAGGTGTCTAATTATATACATATTTTTTTTCTTCTAAAAATGGGGTTCTAATTTTGTACAGTATTCCATAAAAATATAAACAAACCTGCTCATAAGGTTGGATGGAGCGCCCCCTTGTGGTTAAAACTAACATCTGCGCTGGTAAGTGCATCTTAATTGTCAGCTCAAACTAGGAAAACTTCCACTATTTTATTTATTTATTGACTTACTTGACTTATTTTACTTGCCTACTTTACTTTTATTGCCATTGCCATAATAACACCAGTTAGGGATAGCAACAACATTTTGATGGAGTATCATACACCTACAGGTACACATTTAATAAATTAGCACATAATAGTGTGAAAGGACTTAGCAAGGTTCTGATGATCAGTGTAAACACAGATAATAATACAGCATCTAAGAGCAGGATAGAAGAAGGAAAAACTGTGAACAGCCAGATGTTGAAGTGTAGAAGTTGGTTGCTGCATCAACGTAATATCTATTTCACAGTTATTGTCATGATGCGATTTGAGATGTAAGGATAATGGGTGGGGTCATAGAGAGCTGCTGTTCATTTAACAGTCTCACAGCCTGTGGGTACAGACTGTGAGCCATTCTAGTGGTTCTTGCACCTATAGACCGGTACCTTCTGCATGAGGGTAACAGATAGAATAAGCCATATGCAGGACCTGTCCCGCAGGATGTTGTTGACTCGTCTCAGACAGCGGGTTGTATAGATAGTTCTGATCTCCGGGAGGGTAATCCCGATGATCTTCTCAGCTGTTTTAACCACCCGCTGGAGAGCCGCTGGTCTGCCCTAGTGCAGCTGGAGAACCACACAGGTTAATACACTTCCAATAGCACAGAAGTTGAGCATAAACAGCTGAGGACCTTTGACCCATTTCAGTTTTCTCGGAAAAAAAAGACGCTGCAGGGCCTTTCTGATGACTGAGGTGCTGTTGGTACTTTCTCTGTCACCGTCACGCCCAGAAATTTGAATTTTGTGACCCTCTCAACCGCTTTGTTTCTGATGTAAAGTGGAGAGTGGATGTTTTTTATTTTGTTAGCAAAAATCCACAATTTCTTTGGTTTTCTTTATGTTAAGAACCAAGTGGTGGTTGTGACATGATACCAGTTGTTGTACTTCAGTTCTATATGCTGTCTCATTGTCATTGATGAGCCCCAACAGTGTGATGTCATCAGCATATTTAACAATGAGATCTGATGGTGAAGAAGCTGTGAGTAATTAGAGTATAAAGCGCTGGGCTGAGCACACAGCCTTGTGGGGCCCCCGTGCTGATGGAAAGAGTGGAGGAAGCATGCTCGCCCACTCTCACACACTGTGTACACTTAGTTAAAAAGTCCAAGATCCAATTGTATAGAGCGTTGTTCAGTCCTAGATCATGTAACTTTGGTAGGAGTTTGTTTGGCTGTATGGTGTTAAGACATTTTGAACTGTCCCTGCTCATGCAGTAAGATCCAATGAAAAGACAATCCATCTTCTGCTGGTTTTTTATTTTATTTTGTCACTGTAGTCATTTGACAAGTTGCATATTTTGTGTAGTTCTTGTTTATAAAGTTGTATTTTCTTCTGCAGTTGTTGAGCAACATTGCATCACCTAAAGACTTTTAGATTATGTCTGAATTTGTTCATTTCAAAAAAAGTTGATGTGAGAGAGCAATATGCACCGCAGAGAAATAAAAACGTTTCCTTAAAAAGTAAATTTTGTTTGGAAATGTAAATAAGAATTAAAGGAAAACTAAACCTAAAAGAATAAAACGCTTCAATTTGTAACATAAACCTTCCAGCAAAGTTAATTTTTAAATTATGAGCATCAAACTTGCTCACTAAAACTAACACATTTTTAAAAGGTGAGAAACTTTACATCACATTTATCAACCGTTAAATGTTACTTTCTTCTGTCCTGTAAATTCTCCTTCTGTAAGATGGTTCCAACAGTTTCCAGCCTTTGTTAAAAATGTGATTAATTAAAAAAATAATAATAATTCTGCACCAATTTTGTGTAGATTTATTGCAAATGTTTCACAACGTGTTCTCGTGACCACCATCTATTTCTGTGGCCCCGGTCTTTAGGAATGAGCCCCGACTATATTACAGCCTGGTCCCTCCCCCAGAAGATGTGCTAAAGTAACAGCTGATGTCAGTCCTGCTTAAAGACACACACACCTACTACAACCTGTCCAACAGTGGAGACGCATAGAGCACCAGTCTCCTACATCTTCTTCTCCCCCCGACACAGCAGCACTTGGCACGTGGGGGGTTCTTCATGCCACACTCACAAATCCACAATCCAAACCCTGAAACCCAAGTTACTACAGCCAGAGAAGGGGGAGGGTTATCTACTGCTCTCTGGACCCCCATGAGCTGGCTTGGACCATGGAGCTGCACTGTCTTCCCACTGAGACCCCCACCACAGCCAGCTCCTGCTCCACAGACCCTGCGTACGACAACTGCCCGCCTTTCGGCCAGCGAGAGAAGGCCAGGGAGAAGGAAATGGAGAGTAGGGTTGTGTGTCCTCTAATAAGGAGACCCCCAGGACCCAGCAGCCCTCTGCTCGGTTCAGTCCCAGCTCTGACTGAAGTTCAGACAGTGCTCGTTGGTGGAAGAGACCCTGGACCATGGCCAGATCGGAGCCACTGCAGCTGCAGGGTCAGCCTGGGAGGACCGGCCTGGGAATCAGAGCTGAGACCAACCTTGAGCAAAGCAAAGGGACAACGGGGAGTTTGCTGTAGAGTAGAAGAGGGGGGTCATCTGAGCCAAAGCCCCAGTCCACAGAGTGAGGAGCATCAGAGTGCTTTGTCTCTTTACGATAACCTCACTGACACTGGAATCACTGGGAGCCTTCAGGACGTCTTCGGCATGGAGACAAGCCTCCTGGAGCACACCTACGAAGCAGCTGTCCCTGAAGAACTGCTGCAGGATGACGCTGCGAGCGAAGACAACAGCACCTGGTCGTCTTGTGAAATCATCCTATGCAGGCCCGACCAGGACAAGGAGCAAGAACAGGAGCCAGAGCTGGACTCAGGATCCTGGAATTTGGTTCAGACGGACCATGTCACGGCAGGTTCCACACAGCCGTACCACCCTGCATCCCAGGTCCTGTGGCCTCCTGTTGAAACTGAGCCATCGTCCTCTCTAAGGGTGCCCCCTCCGGTGCCCCTCGCCGATCCCTCTGCCAGTGCTCTTCGAAGCATCCTCACCAACCTCCAGCAGCAGATCATCAGGCAGAAGGAGGAGTACGAGGCTCGGATAATCAGGTGATTTTCACTTGCTACGTAAAAACAAATGTCTTTTTTACAACAATGTGCTCATAATCTCAAAATTAAAAACATCCCTTCCAGTCCTCAGCTTACAGTTTATTATTAAAGGGTAACAACTTTCCCACATCTGCAACAGTGTGGGTGTAAAATGTGCCGAGTTGACTCCGAGCTTCACCCTACATCCTGTTTGGACCAGAGCTGAAGTTTCCCACAGTTCTCCCATGACACCCAGTAATCCAAACACATTGTACTAGTTTAAATAAAACAATGCGTTTTATCCTCCCCCTCTGATTTGCAGAACTTCACAGCTGGTTGGTGTAAAGTGGAAAATAAAGAGCGCAGCCGGTGTGGCTGACATATAGAACGCAGGTCACGACACTGGAAAGAGCTAAATTAAGTGTCCATGCTGCTGACCTAGACACAACACATACCCCATTTATTACTGATATAGATAGAGCGTGTCTCGGGTCAGGATTGGTTCAAGTTGGTGAGGACAAGGGGGTGGAGTGGGGGGGTCTCACAAGTCTTTTAATTTGTCATGAACCACAAAAATAAAGTATTGGTCAAACATTTTAGAACACTTAAAATCAACATTTTGGCATTTCAAGAGGTGATCTTGAATGAAAGAGTGCTGTCTGCTGTAGAAATGTTGTTTTGGGGCATTAGGAAATGGATTTAAAACGGTAAATATGGCCACGCGTGGAGATTGGGGGAAACCGTGTGACCCTCTGGTGCAATATGAGTAAGAAATGAAAAAAAGAGGTAAAAAAAAATTAATTATAAAAGACAGCAGGCACATTGATCCAAGTGTTCATTTTACAATAGAGTGCACACTTCAGAACGAAAACAAAACATTATGTGTCAAACGAGGAAATTTGAGATGAAATTTTGAAGTTTAAAGGAAGCTCCGCCCCCAAATTTCCACGAGCTTCGTAAAAATCGACGACACAATGCCGGCATTTAGACGCATGAACTGTAAAATAGGTGTAAAGAGAACAAAAATGAGAAGAAACGTTAAAGCTGATGCCAGTGGACCAAAAGGGTCGCCATGGTTACAACCTACCTGTGTTGTTCTACCCAACAACAATAAGGCAGACTGTAAAGTAAGCCTCAGTCGTGCAAAAACTAGCAGCAAACTTGTTCTGTGAGCACCAGAACGAGCGGATGGTCATGTTGGTGTTTTGTGTGGGGGATACAGTGGTAAGAGTAAAATACCCTTCACCTGCAGTTTTAAAGAGAACATTTGGAGCTTAAATAAATCTGTAGTTTGTGGATAATTGGATGTGCACTCTGCATCTCGTGGGGTTCTGAGCAGTCAGTCTTAGAGAGATACACTCCGGGGACAATAATCATGTATACCTAGTTATCTGAACCATTTTGGCCATGGTGTTCTTCAGGCTGTTTCTGTGAGTAGCAAGTTGGACATCTGGCCTAAAGCATTTAATTGTTGTACACGATGATTGTTTTGGACAGATGGTCCCCTTTTTGCATGTGTAAAGCTAGTTTCTTTGGATTCCACAGAGGGCTGGCTTGAAACACATCAAGGAGGTGCTATTTGTGAGACAGATCTGGTTGGCAGGCCTCAGACTGATGGCCTTTCAGATGCAAGTCGAAGCCCTTAAAGAAACTGGTCCAGATGACATGATTTAACCATTTTTGTGATTTATCTACCTGGATGATTGAGCTTAAAACCATTTTCCCTATACCTGTTTATATATATTTAGTAAATATAGTAAAATTGTGAAAGATTTGTTGGCAAAATATGTGAAAATTTAGAGAAATCTGAGCATTCACTGTAGCTTTATCTCAAATTCTGCCTTTTTTCATTAGGACATCACTAATATTTGTAAAAAATTTGCTTAAAAGGTTTTTTTTTTTTACATTTAAACCCAACTGTTTTATATAATTTTGTGTTTTATGGTGTTTTGTTCTTTCAATTCATAGTTCCTTGATTTGACATTAACATACAGATCACATTTGGTTTTGGTAAACGATTGTCACCTGCTGCCAGGAAAGACCAGCAATCATGTAATTGTCTGAGTCTATGTGTGTGTTACATCATCAATTAGCAAAATATCTCATGCACCATTGGGCATTTTAACAAGCATTTTAGAATGTTTTTTTTTTTTAAGTAACTTGTGGAATCAACTAATTCAAAATGGACTCCAGAGCTTACCAAAGCTAGCAAAAACAAAAATGGCAACAGCTCGGTCATTTTTACCACTACAGTAGTCCCTCGCTGCTTCGCGGACTTACTCTTTCGCTGTTTTTCAAAGGAAGTTTGGACATGACACACAACTGGTTGATTGATGGATGAGTGGCATAGATTGTTTATTTAAAATCAATCATTTTAAATGATTTAGCACCTGCTGCACCCGCGTGCAGCCCACAGGTGCAGTGAGACGCTCCCTCCTGCAGCCTGTCATGATCTCTGCTCTCTGCCACCTGCGGCTCTTTGCCACACCCACTTCTCTGGGTGGAATCACACTCATGCTCATCCCTCCCAATCTCCCTCCTTCTATGTAAATACAGTATTTAAATTGTTTAATAGTTTAAATAAACAATCCATGCTGCATAAGAAGCTTTAAACAATCAAGTGCGACCGGAACCGAGCCTTTAGTCCCCCTCGGTTAACAGCCAGACCACCGGGAAATATCTTGTTGCTCCGAATGGACAGTTCACCTCCAACCTGCTGCATCAGGTGCTAAATCATTAAATATAATTTAAATAATTCTGGACCTGTGATTGTGCTTTTATGTTTTATGGGCTGCACTTGTCTGATGCCTCATGAAGACGTCTGCTTTGCCTTCAGACCACTGATTCCAGCTAAAACCCTCAGATAAGTTTAGCTTTTCCTGCCTCTACCCACGCCTGTATTTTATGACCATGAACTCAAATCCCAGACTCTGAGTTCTCAGAACCAAGTTCCACATTCTGAGAGCGTTTGTCTGACTTGCTCGCATATCACGTGATTCATCAGTCCAAACCTCAGTTCCCTCTGACGTCATCGCAGCTTCTGATTCTCCACCGCTTATCGAATGACAACTGACTTTCTCCTCCTGATAAAACTTTAAATAATTTATGTTCACTCCCGTTTCAACTTATTAATTTAAATTGAAAGTTTCTATTTTAAAAAGCAAAACTTTTCAGAGGGTTTTAGCTGGAATCAGTGGTCTGAAGGCAGAGCAGACATGTTCAGGCATGAGGCATCAGACAAGCACAGCGCACAAAAATAAATAAAAACACAATCACAGGTCTGAAATGATTTAAAATAAATTATTTAAAAATAATTAGCACCAGCTGCAGCTGGTTGGGGGCGAACTGTCCATTCGGAGCATCAGGATATTTCCCGGTGGCCTGGCCTTTCACCGAAGGGGACTAAAGGCTCCGTTCCAGTCGTGCTTGATTATTTAAAATAAAGATTCTCATGCAGAATGGACTGTTTATTTAAACTATTAAACAATTTAAATACTGTATAAATACTGTATTTACGCAGGAGGAGGAAGATTGGGAGAGGGATGAGCACGAGTGTGACTGCAGCAGAGAAGTGGGCGTGGCAGAGATCATGATGTGCTCTTTTAGAGCGTTTAGAAAATTGTTAGGAACATTGCAAGAGTGTGGGAAGGGTTTAAAACACCTTTACATACACACACGCGCACACACACACACACACACACACACACACAC